TACCCTTCTAACCAATAATTATATGGTCGGTGTGGGTCGAATATTACCTCGTTAGAAAAATTGCTTACTCTATAGTTCGGTTCGTTGTTCATCATCTCGTCTATTATTAGGTCAGTAACTCTTTTAATCTAGTCAAACCTCCTGCCTAGAATAATTAAGGATATATTAGTAAATTTATAAATTATAATATAATACAATACGATCAAATTAAACATTTAAAATGTTATTAAACAATAACAAACAGTACAATCTAACCAAACATTATATCTACCATACAATAAACTACAATACAATACAACACATTATGAAATAATGAGTAACAATGATCCAAACAAAGTGTAAGTATGTCATGAGTTACTTCAATGTTATAACATCAAGAAATCAAACACTGGTTCGGGACATACGTATTATCATCTCTCTTTAGCTATTAGTTTTCTTTCTCTAAAAATAATGAAGTGTTATAAAGTAATTAGCTAACAAACTAATATTAATAGACTAAATTAAAAATAAGAACAAACAAAGAGAGAAGAGAGAGTGTAATAATATATTCCAAATTATTTTTAATATCTATGTAAAGAACGCAATGGCTATTTATAGCCAATAGGAATATAAAAATTAAACACTTAGTCATTGATAAACTATCCATTTGACTAAGTGATTATACCTCAAACATGAGTGACCCACGTGTCATCAGATTAATAAAGCAAATGATAACTCTTAAAGGATGACTCACATGACATTTATTTAATTTTATTACAACAAAAAAAACATACTCTCTTTGTCCCTATTTACTTGTCCATGTATCCTTTTATATCAGTCCTTATTTACTTGTCCATTTTAACAAATAAAAAAAGGACAACAACTTTTTTTCATAATATGTCTTTCTTTAATTTTAGAAACATATTAATTTCTTATTTGAGTGTTTGAATTATGTTTTACTTTAATTTAACACTTTTCTTAGATCAATATAGTATTTTGGAACTTGCTTGAATTATTTAAAATCCATTAATTCAAGTGAGTTTTGGACATAAATTCACACCGGAGATATTATATATTTTTTCTAATGCAGATAAATTTACATAGATATTATACAATGCTTGACCTTGTATGGCATTGTGTGATATGGTCCATTTTTGATGGCGGTGTTTACCTTATTGTCATTCTATATGTGATGTGATCATGGACTTGAAGGCAATTGTGTTATGAATGTGTGTTTATGATGATCACACAATGTGAAGTATTATGCCTAGCCTTCAATATTAGTTCATGATCTAGATTATATAGATGATGCTTTCTATATGTGACTAAAAGATGTTAGGGTGGCACTGAAATGCGATCACAATAACTTGTTGGGCATCATTATTGCGAGCACCCCTGTTATATGTACATAAAAGGCTTGGGACTATTTTTCATAGATGGGTAGACAATATCGAGATTGCAATGAATAGTCTAGAACAATATAAAAGGAGAAAATTGAGATTTAAGTTTAAACAACTTAAGAATAACGATTTTAAATAAACTTATTTATCAAGAAAATATTGAGTGAGCATTTCAAATACATAGTTGATCTATACCGTTAAATTCTGAAATTATTATGTCAAAAAGCATGATCAATTAAATATGTGATATTTAAGTATTTTAATAAAAACTGAAGAGAGTGTAATATAAGAAGTTGAATATCAAATTAAAGTCAAACTAACAATTATATTTATTACAAATTTAGTCTTTTGTAATTATATGAATAATTAAAAATTTTGATTTATTTTAGAAATTAACAAGAAAACTTGAAGAAAACTTTTTTAATTGAACTTGACTTTGACCTAATTAAAAAAATAGATTAACATTAGTCTATTTGTCTAACATTATAGAGTATTAACTAGATCAAGTACATGATGGAATTATTCGAGTGTGAAGATTAAAGTAACTTCTAATCAAGGTAAGTTAGAATTTTGATCCAAATAAGAGAATATATATATATATATATGATACAATATATAAATGAGATGTTAATTGACGAGCATATATATGAAATATCTTACTCAAAATTAACACATAAAACATAATTAATATTGATATAACATTTTACACATTTGTAATTGTCGTGACTATTTTAACATTATCACAATGATATAGTGCTAAAAATACTAGTTTAATATTATGATCCATGTGCTTGTGTAATTATTAATTACATAAATAGCTCATTAGTCACGAGATGTATACATTTTTTTAAACTTATTTGCATGTGTAATCCACGTATTTGCAATTGATATGAGTTTACGAGTCTATAATACATATATTTAATTACTTAGGAGTCATAACTTATAGAATCTAGTACTTTGATTATGGCATGCAAACGTGAATTTATTTCTAATGAATCATTGTATAATTTGAGTATTTGGAGCAATATGTCACGGACTTTTCGATCTGGACAAGACTCCGTGCGGTATTTGACGGTCTACTCACGATTCTTGCACGATCTCGTAGACTCAAATAAGTCTTTCACTACTTGGATCGCTAAGAGAAATAAGAAAGAGGGACAAAAGGTAGATTTGGAAGAAAGACTTGTATTGATAAGTTGATGGATGTATTACAAATACAATAGCCTACCTATTTATACTACTCTAATGACTAAGAGTAATTAAATGCTACACTATACAAGTCCCTAAGTTCACGCACTCAAGGCATAACCACATTCTAAGAATGTCTACAACTCTTCCGAAAAGGGACTCCTAGTCTTCCCTAGTCTGCCCCAACGTTCCAGAGGCCCTGCACAAGTCTCTCCAAGGATGGAAACTGCCGCCCCTTCATTTGCTGAACGGCTGAAATGCCTGCCCCTCCATCTGCTGCCTGTTTGGCTGCCTGTCCCCTTGCACATGCTGCTAGCTGCCTAGATGGGTGGCGATCTGCCTGGATAGCTGGCGGGACGTCACAAATATGTGCACATGATTATTGACCAAAATAATGATGATTTAAAAGAAAGATTTAAACTTTTTCATACATCTCTAATTTTTATATGTAATTGTGCATAGCTTAATATGTTATATTTGTATATTTACTATTTTATGATATCATAAGATTCACTTTTGTTTAGATTATATTAATATTGTATAGGCTAGTTAAGTGAATATTATCAAATATACATTACCACCAATTCAATTTAGTAGATGGAAACTGGTGATATTTTTTATTTGATAAGTATTGATTACTCATACTATAATTATTATATTTCTATGTTAATTATAACCCTAAAATATGTAATCCTCATAAGTTGGTCTAGGTTAACCTGTTGGAAACAATTATGATTAAAAATTAGGGCTAATTTGCGAACGCTTTGAAGTTTTTCTTATTTTTAAATGATATTTGTATTAAGACAAATATAATGTTACTATAAATGTTCATGACTTATAAAATCTTTTTTAGGAGCGTTTCAAACTTTTCATGTTATGTTGATATAAATGTTTTTAATACAAATTTCTACTTTCGAACTCGATTATACTATTTCAATAAATATTTTTAAAAAAATTGTTATAAAGTTCACTTAATAAATTTGAATTCAATCTCATCGTATATTAGATAAATTCAAACATGATAAGATAATATCAATGTCTTCTGTTTTCGCAAATTTTATTTAATAACGAATAATATTTAGTAGGATTGTGTAAATCAATATCAATATAAATATATGTACTTATTTTTCACGCAATGGCGATATTTTAAAGAATATGACATAGATAGAAGTGATAACTGCAGTTTCAACTATTTTATTGGAATGTAAAAAAAAAATCAATGTCATATTTTGATGCAACAATATACACTTACGTGTCAAACTTCAAGATTTAATCTTGATCGGGCGTCATAGCATATGATTGTTCTACAATCTCTTTGTTACAACCCTGATCCGTCATGAGTGAATCATTTGGTCGAGCAACCAACTACCAACCCAAACTCAACTCATCAAATAAATTCAAAAACAAAATCATGAAATAGCCGTTTGAATATGCTCCATTCTCAATAAATATAGTATCTATACGCAATCACAATATATTGATAGAATCATTAGCTAGTTTTAGTAATATGAATAGATAATAATAATTTAGTAAGCAAATAATACAAAAATAGTATGTGTGTGCGCATATATATATATATATATATATATATATAAACTCCATGTAAAAATTTACAATTTAAGAGTATTTATATACTTCGATATATAAGTAGTAAGTATATATTGTATTTGTCCAATTTTAGTTGTTATAGTTTTCATTTATAGAGTCAACGATAATAGTACTGACTAACATTTTATATTGTATTTTTTCATCATATTGAGATGCAAAAATATAATTTATAGTACTTTTCATATAATTTTTGAATATCTAAATTTTTTGTTTAAAATATCAAAGCAATGTATTTTAATTTAACTTTAAAAAATAATTAAATATTATCTTTTAAAAGATGTAACACGATAATTTAAAGTGAAGGATGAGGTATCATATATTTTGCAAACATACATATACCATTTAAATCACATATATTTATCATAATCTAATATATATGTTTTAGAAATATTAACGTGAAATACACATGCAATGCAATAACATGTCTAAACAAGTATTTATATATATTTTTTAATTTAATTTTTACCATTTTATATCTTTATCTGTCTTAATTTATGTGATATTTTTTAAATTTTGAAATTTAAACAAGTCTATTTTTAATCATAAATTTTTCATATATTTTTAAATTATTTTGAATTGTCAATTATTATGATTTATGATACTTTTTACATAGTTTAAAAATATATAAATTCCATTTCATAAAAATTAAAAGTTTTACACTTAAATTTTTGATTAAACTTTAATTCTCGAAAAACTAAAAATATCAGGTAAATTGTACAAAGTACTTCCACATTTCATGTGGAAAATGAAGCCACTCAAAAACGGGTCGGGTCTACCGAAGTTTTAAGGGTTTTATTGCTTTCTGTATTTAGGCGAAGGGTTTTACTACTTCTCTTACTCTACTGAGCTTTTCTTCCTTTATAGCCGCAGTCAGGAGGAAGAAGAAGGAAAACAGAATCAAATTTCTTCCTTCTTTTTGTTTATTAATTTATTTTTGTGCAATGGCTACTCTCATTCCCCCGTCAGTTATAGTTCCACCGGCGAATTCAAAGTCGGCGGCTGTCGAATCGGAGAAAGAGAAAGTTGATTACCTGAACTTGCCTTGTCCAATTCCTTATGAAGAAATCCATCGTGAAGCTCTCAGTTAGTATTTTCATCCTTTTACTTCGCCTTTGATCATTTGTTGCTATTAAGTTTTAATGAATTCGGTTTTGTTGGAGATAAATGGATGTATTTGATTTATAAGGATGTGGCGGTATACTTGAAATGGTTTGGAATAGGGTGGATTAGATGTAGAGGATTTATGTAACCGGATCCTGTAATTGAGAAGCTCTCAGTTTGTATTGTTGCTATCGTTTACTTCGCCTCTGATCAATTGTTGCTTTAAGTTAAATGAATTCGGTGTGAGTTGAGTGAAATGGATGTATATGATTTATAAGGATATGGCGGTATAGTTGAAATGGTTTGGAATAGTGTGGATTAGATGTTGATGATTTATGTAACTGGATCCTGTAATTGAGAAGCTCTCAGTTAGTATTGTTGTCCTTTTACTTCGCCTCTGATCAATTGTTGCTTTAACTTTTAATGAATTCGGTTTGAGTAGAGAGAAATGAATGGATAGGATTTATAAATATGTGGTGTAGTTGAAATGGTTCGGAATAGATTGGATTAGATGTTGAAGATTTATGTAGCCGGATCCTGTAATTGAGAAGCTCTCAGTTGGTATTATTATCATATACTTCTCGCTTATGATCAGTTGTTGCTTTTAAAGTTTAATGAAGTTGGTTTTGAGTAGAGAAATGGATGTATAGGGTTTATAAGGATGTGGCGGTATAGTTGAAATGGTTCGGAATAGAGTGGATTAAATATAGAAGATTTATGTAGCTGGATCCTTAATTGAGAAGCTCTCAGTTAGTATTATTATCATTTATTTCTCGCCTATGATCTACTGTTGCTTTTAAATTTAATGGAATTGATTTGAGTAGAGTGAAATGGACATTTATGATTTATAGGGATGTGGCAGTATAGTTGAGATGGTTCGGAATAGGGTGAATTAGGTGTAGAAGGTTTAGGTATCCTGTAATTGAGAAGCTCTCAGGTAGTATTGCTATCATTTACTTCTCGCCTATGATCAGTTGTTGCTTTTAAGATTTAATGAAACTGGTTTGAGTAGAGTGGAATGTATGTATATGATTTATAAGGATGTGGCGGTAAATGGTTTGGAATTGAGTGGATTAGATGTAGAAGATTTATGTAGCCGGATCCTGTAATTGAGAAGCTCTCAGTTGTTTGTAGATTGCTTTGCGTGTTGTAAGAATTGAAATGTGATTTAAGTATGGAGTTTTAACTTTTAATGTTATGTTGCCTCTAATAGTTAGGGATATGGTGCAAGTCTGTAAGAGATATACTAATGATATTTGTCTAATTGACAAAATTACTGACAAGTTGATCGGAAGCTGGAATTGTAGGATGGGAAGTTAAATTCATATATGTATGGTAAATATAACTTGCATAAGAAGGAAGGTGATGCAAGAAGACACACTCTAGACATCTAGATTTTTAGGTGAATGACAAGATAGAACAAGATATTAGATAACTAAAATAAATGTAGAAGATTTATGTAAAGGATCCTGTAATTGAGTAATAGTTGATTTTCTGTTATCTGCAGATTGGGTTTCTTTGCGTTTCTAAAAATTGAAATGTGTTTTGAAATATGGAGTTTCAACTTTTAATATCATGTCGCCTCCGATGGTGTAGGAATTAGGTTTCATGGTGCAATTCTGCAAGATATATAGAAACGCTATTATCTTATTGACAAAATGACCGAAAAGTGGATAAAAAAAGTTGGAATTGTAGGATGGGAAGTTAAGCCATAAACCATATATGTATCCTAAATATAACGTGCATAAAAAGGAAAGTGATGCGAGAATGACACAATCTAGACATCTAGATTAGTCTTCTGGGTAATGACAAGATAGAATAAGATATATGATAACTAAAATAGATGTAGAAGATTTATGTAGCGGATCTTGTAATTGATCAGTATTTCATTTCTTGTTGTCTGCAGATTGCTTTAGCGTGTTCTAAGAATTGAAAATGTGATTTTAAGTATGGAGTTTTGACTTATAATATTATGTCTCATCCAATGGTGTAGCTATTAGGTTTCATGGTGCAAGCCTGCAAGATATGTACAAATGAAATTGTCTTATTGACAAAGTGACAGACAAGTGGATCGAAAAAGTTGGAATTGTAGGATGGGAAGTTAAATCATATATGTATCGTAAAGGATAACTTGCATAAGAAGGAAGGTGATGCGAGAACACAATCTAGATATTTAGATTTAGACTTCTAGGCAAATTACATAATATAATTAGATATAAGATAACTAAAATAGAGGACTCTTACAAGCGTGTAATGCGGCAAGGAGAAACCTAACAAAATGAAATTAGTTTTGTAGAGTGGTTGTAGATTTTGAGAGGAACAATGTTATATGATAGTGAATGTTGAGTCTACAAGGCCACATATATCCTAAGATCAATGTTACTAAAATCTAGATGTTAAAATGAATGTGTAGTTGTAGAAGAGCTTTTGAAAGGAAAGAACATGATTTCGTACATCCGAGGAATAATTTATATGATGGTGAATGTTGGGTCTAAGGGGCCATGTATATCCTAAAATCAGTGTCACTAAAATCTAGATGTTTAAGTTAATGTGAAGTCGTAGAAGAGCTTTGAAAGGAAGGAACTTGATTCCATACATCCAAGGACTAATTTCATAAATGTTTTGTCTATTTGGTGCACTTGAGGTTCTTATATCATATGTTTTTGTTGATTCTCTCTCTCTCTCTCTCTCTTCTTCTTCTTCTTCTTTCTTTTTTTTTTTTGTATAGCTCTTGCACAAGGGAGCTTTTATCAACAAAATTATTCTGTACTTGATATAAGAAAATAGATTAGGAGTGATCATGTCCTATAGAGGATAAAATTAGCACATGTAGAATGCCGAAGTAAGGCAGTCTATGATTGTATGACACTATTTTTTAAGGGAGAATAATAAGTTTGTAGTGCTGATTGGGGTGAATCCAGAATTCCAATTTTTGGTGATGTGAAGTTGCCATACATGGCAGTTGATGTTTCTTTTTTCTTGCATATTCCCATTTTTGCCACCAAACTCTTATTTCTAAGTCCGTTCCCACCCGGGCCCTCTGTAATTGGTGTAACCTAATAGTAGCTTTGTATGAATCTCTTCTTGCCACTTATTAGATTACCTTTTATTTAATATTCCCTCCGTTTTAAATTAATAGTGACTTCAACTCAAAAAAATTAACCCTAAATATTTTCTAGTATAAAATTAAAGTATGCAAGCATTTCATCTATACCCTCATAGTTCTTTTGTGTTTAATATTGTTCAATTCTCAAAAAACTTCTAATAAGTTAAATGGACTGAATGGAATACGTCATTAATGTACTTCAATTATTATTTATTAATATCCTTGTAAGATTGTTATTAAGTTATAATATATGTGAAGGCTCTAAATTGAATTTATAACTATTATAATATACATTTACAATCATTGAAACTTTTCTTGTAATAGATGATTCTATACAACATACCTAGTGTATACAACATGGTACCTAAGTATTATGTGAATTACAATGTTACCAGTTTGTAATCGACAAAGGGGGTCGGGGGTAAATTATATATGATCCTAAACAACAACGATATATCCAGTGTTACAACAAATGAATTTTGCAAAAACTCTTGGCACATGAAATAATGAGTGAAATTAAAACATAATAAATGTTGAAATAAAATTTATTTCTATCTATAACTAAGAAATTACATGCTCACAAATTCATAAAAATAACAACAATTTTTATTTATGATCTTCATTGAATTATAAGATCAAATTATAATTTTTTTTACATATTTTAAATCAGGTTATTTAATGAAATGTCATATCACTTGTTACATTTTGATATTTTCTAGTTCTCCGGCCAAATTTACTTCCTCATAAATAATTTTTTATTTAAAGTTATCTAATTATGTGATTAAGAATTTTGACAATTATGAAGACTTATCAACTAGATATGTTTGACCTGCCATTAGATTATATTAGTTATAAAGTAAAAATATGGTACAAATTGTACTTCTTTAATTAAAATTACTACTTCTATATTTTGAGTTTAGGTCTGGGGCTTTGGCTTTGGGCTTAGCACGACCCCCATGGAACTAGTATAGAACTACATATGACAATCTGATGATGGAAGATAATAAAGAGAAGATGAGATTAGCTTGCCCCCACAAGGATGATACACAGAAATTGAGAATAAAGAAGATGAGATAGACCTAAAACTACATGGACAGGAGTTGTATCACAACACGTACAATCTCTCATAATCATGTGAGCTAAGAATAGAACACAATGGAAGTGAGGATCCATATATGTGATAACACTAGTTGGGACTAAGGCATAGTTATTGTTGTTACACTTACATTAGGTGTTTTTTTCAATATTCATTGTATTCTAGTTAGATATTTATAGAGGTATATGTCTAAGATTTGGAAAAAATTGTTTTATATTTAGTATGGAATGAAATGGGCTTGCATAGAGAGCAAAATGGATAGAAAAAATTCTACATCTGACCTCAACTGGTTTGAGATTGTATAGTTGTGTGTTTGTTGTGAATGCTCTAGGTTTAGCAAGAAATACTGCCTCTACATTCTAATTCAACCTTGCATTTGGGAAAAGACAGTGTGCTAATAGTTGTTCGATTCATTGTGTGTAGATGTAAAGTTGTGTCCAGTAGTCTTCTTTATCAAAACCTGGAGAGCTGGTTGTTGAAACCACTATAAAGTTAAATTACTGCAGTGCTTCTACTGCAGTTATAGTGTTTCCTTTCATGTTCATATTTAGTCAGCTTTGGTGCTCTTAAATGTGACACTCCTATATTATTGTTATTGTTTTAGTGAAGGAAATAACTAATTCATGTCTCTATTGGCAGTGTCTTTAAAGCCCGAGCTTTTTGAAGGACTGCGCTTTGATTTTACCGGAGGACTTAATCAGAGATTTTCACTGAGTCATAGGTAGATTTTCTATACTTGACCACTATCTTATTTGTAGCTATGTTCCTCCGTTGCTTGAGGGGAAGAGGTGTTCTCTTAGTGATAACAAATGTGTACCTTTTATCAGTGTTTTTATGGGGCCTACAGAACTTCCTACTCAGTCTGCTGACATCGTCAAAATACCAACTGCGCACTATGAGTTTGGTGCCAACTTTATAGATCCACAGGTCTGTAGTTGAATTTTATTTTTCTAAGTGGCTGAACTCATTGAGGATCAAATAGCAGCGACAATGACATCCTACTAATGCTACAGATGATGCTTATTGGGAGAGTAATGACAGATGGTAGGGTGAATGCTAGGGTGAAGTGTGATTTGTCTGAGAATCTTTCATTGAAAGCCAATGGTCAGGTATTAAATGATATCTGCAACTGTTGCTTTCCCTTCCATAATTATTTGGAGCGACTGTATGTCTCATAATTACTATCTTCTTAACAGCTGACTGGTGAACCACACATGTCACATGGCATGGTTAATTTTGATTACAAGGTAATTATTCACTGTTTATGGAAGGATATTCTTGCATATAATTCATTAGATTTAATTGGGCTATTCTGGTCACTCTTTCTATTTCATTCAAGTTGTACTATTCTCATACTATGTGCAGGCCATTTGACTTGGGAATAATGATTGTTGTATATTTTCGTTGTTGTTTATAAGGGTAAAGACTACAGGACCCAATTTCAACTTGGCAATGGTGCATTACTTGGAGCCAGCTACATCCAGGTATTGTTACTCATCATTGCTGTCAATACTTATTTTTATTCAATATTTCCATCATGACGTTCAACTGGCATTTTCTCCCTAACTGTTATTGAAAACGTTTTCTTGAGATGGTTTATCGGGAACAACCTCTCTACCCCACAAAGATAGGGATAAGGTCTGCATACACCACTTCATCCTCCCCAGGCCCCACTTGTGGGGATATAGCAAGTTTGTCAGAAAGTAAATGAACTTTTCTCAGTCCATTATGTATATGAACTGTTATAATGCGTCAGACATTTATGTCCTCAAATTACACGAGGTATCGTAAAGTTTCAAAGGTTCAGTAAATTTTGTCTTACTTGATACGATGAGTTGGAATAGTGTTTTATCACTTACAAGTATGCGTTTTTAGGTTTAAAATGAAAAGATAATAATGTGTGACATTGTGCTGTCAACTGGAATTAAAAGCCTAGTGAGTGGGAGAGAGAGCAAAGGGAACCATCAGGAGTTGTTATAGCATCAATATGAGATCAATCGTTTGTAGTTTGTGAAAAGTCAGGTTACTTAATTGGATTAAATGCTAAGAAGAGAAGAAGACACTAGTGATTAATGTGGGTCACATTCTCCAACAACTCCTTGATTACTTAGAAAATACTTTTTAAGTGTTACTTTACTAATTATTAGCTTTACCTCATCCTGTTCCCTCAACCCCTGATGACAAGAAGGGACTGCCAACCACTCTGTACTACTACTCCCTTTGTCAGTGTCACGCAACTCAATCTGCATCAACTACATACCCATTACTTTACTTAAGTAAAACATTTCCCATTTAAAGGAAACCTCCATTATTTACCTTCTCACCAGAACGATCAACTGAAATGTAGACAATTTCCACCATCATTTATTATTTAAGCTAGCCAATGAGTAGCTGAGTAGCTGTAATTGTGACATCCGTTTGATGCCATTGTTTTGGTAAGAAACGTCATGAGTTCAAGTTTGTCATTTGCACTTCTTTCTGGACAGTAATGACGGATCAATTGAAATCAACTAAAATTGTTTGTTTTGTGAGACTATATGCATTCAAGATGTGTTTGGGGGTACATAAAGGATCCTTTTCTTTCAATTGTATCCTAGCGAAGTTTTTTAGGTGGGGTTTCATTTGATTTATTGTGGATTGAATGATGGAAAACCAAGCAAAGCGCGAAGAGTGGTGTGGTAGACACATGGTTTTGGGTGTGAACGAGCATTGTGGATAGTGGTGGTTAGGCATATACGTGGTTTATTTTTTTGTAATTGAGAGTTTGTTTGATGAGGTCATCCCTTGGCGGAAGACTTCAACGTGGAGATTCCTTGTTCATAGTTGTGGATTAGCTGTCTGAACGCTGCATGGTCTATTTGTGTCAGCGGGAGGAAAGATCTGAATAGACTAGGAAAGTATGGCAAGAATACTGCAGATATAAGCCCCTTTTAAAGAGGATGGGGCCTCCCTATGTCTTTGATGGTTGGTAACTTGGATTACTCTAATTTAAATGTCCGTACTCACGTTAGCTCATTTTGCTGGAAAATGTTTTGGAATTAAAACATGAATTCTTAAAATAATTGGGCTCAATGTGTATAGGTGAGCTTCTACAGGTACCATTTATGCTCTTCTTTATGGTGAAGTTGCTTCCATATTATCAACTGTTATAAAAGGACCTTCTTATAAAAAGGTTTCTATTAGTAATTTGCTACTTGGGGTTTTGTTCCTTGGTGGCAGCTCGACTACAAAGTACAAACTCAGTGTCATACTCTATAAATTGGAGAGTTGAGACAGTAATGGACTTTACTTACTGAAAAAGAGTGGAAATTGCAAATGCTATAGCAATTTATTTTTTCGCTTTTGTCCTTTCGCACTGCGGGCATATCTGATAAGTTGGTTTGATATCATCTACCACCTATTGGTCAATCATGTATTCCTTGTGGTTCGTATTAAGTACCAGAGAATGAGTAAACTGTCCTTATTGAGGTGAATTGTGTGGTATTATGTTAGCTTTGCTAACTGAACCTTTATGTGCTCTTGCAGAGTGTCGGTCCACATTTGTCTCTGGGTGGGGAAGTGTTCTGGGCTGGTCAGCATCGGAAATCTGGCATTGGTTATGCTGCTCGCTACAACACAGATAAAATGGTATGCTTCCTATTACTAGATGTTAGATAATTTTTTATCTGGATTCGAGGCATTATAATATTTGTTCAAAAGATGAATGACTTGTTTGTGATTGAGTTGTAGTTGTAATTACTGTTAATTGTGTTGGTAATACATGGCAGCAGCTTGAATTTCATTGCTGTTTTACAAGTAGTTCTTTTTGGTACTTGCTAACTAATTCAGTTGATTGAGAAGACTTCTATTTAACTTCAGTTGAAGTGAAGTCCTTCCGAAAAACTAATATGTATCATGCCCCAGTTAGACATTTGATTGATTGCTTTGTCTGAGTAAGTTTTTTCAGTAGCTATAACATCAAGGGCAGTGTCATTATTCTCCTTCATCTCTTGTATGAATAGCTCTAGAATAAAATTGAATTGCAGGTCTTCCAGATGCAAAAGGATGTTTATTATATCTTTTTGACTTGGTATTTTAATGTTATGTCAAACAGGAACATCAAAATATTCACGTTTCACGTTTCTGAGTATAAACCCTCCCAAAGAGAAAACATATCTATTATATTTTCTTTTGTGATTTCACTAGCATTAATTTCTTGTAGTTGTCTTTTTTGTAGGTGTCTTTCATCTTTCCAGTTTTTTTTTTAATGATTTTCACATAATTCAGTGTTTGTTAATTTATCTGCAGGTTGCTGCAGGGCAAGTTGCTAGTACTGGAATGGTTGCACTGAGTTATGTTCAGAAAATTTCTGATAAGGTTGCAAGAGTCACTAGTATCTTAACAATTGCATTTTGTGACTTGGTTTTCTTGAACTCTTTTCTTCCATGCAGGTGTCTCTAGCATCAGATTTTATGTACAACTACATGTCAAGAGATGTAACAGCAAGCTTTGGTTATGATTACATCCTTCGGCAGGTAACCTTTTGTTGTAAATTCTTTCCGAAAATCTAACTTGATTTCCTGCAGGCTACTGTTTGTCTTTCGTACTTAAACTCCTCTGCATTCCAGCAGTTTGCAGTTTCCTGTTGGCTTTGAGAGACCCTTACTCGATGAAGGGTGTAGTTTCTTCCTAGTTTCTAACCTGCTACTACTGTCTTGAATCTAGTGAAAAATGAACGCTTCAAATTTAATACCTCAATATTGGCGTTTATCTTTTTCAAAATGATTGATGCAGACTCTCCAATAGATCATTTCTTACCTCGGCCCGTAGGTTAGACACCTTGCCTTAGGTTTCGACACCTTGATGGTAGAACCATTCTAGCATTATAATCCAGTTTATATTAAAGACCGATTACAACGTCTTCCATGTATATTGCATGGACTGACTTGGTGTGTGCCCGTGAGTCCATATATTTGTCGCAGCCTGCAGCCCTTCGTTCTTCTTCCTGATTTATAACTCTTTCTTCAGCTAAGATATATGTACTAGTGGTTTTAATTTTTTATTCTCTTTCATATCTTTCTGCTATGTGACATCTCATTTCTTTTTGCGATGTGACATCTTGTTTCTGTAGTGTTAAGAGTTTCAGAATACTGAACCCTGTTAGGAATCCGATGCACCTAAGTGTGGTAAGGTAGATAGTTAGGATTCTTGTGTAGAGAATCATCTCTGCTTAGATTTTCTACTCTTTCGGATATCACATGTGTATGGGGTGTTCTCCCCGAAGTGGTATACAAGGTAAATTGACCTAAATACCGTGACTCCTAATTATGAGAGAGTTGGGGAAATTCAGTGCTATTAACCTAAATGTGTAAAATGAGATGTGAGATGTGAGATGTGAGAAGTGAGAAGTGAGACTGAGATGATATGGGCATGTGGGGAGGAGGTTCACGGATGCGTCAGTTAGTAGGTGTGAGAGATTGGCTATAGCAAAAGTTAGGAGAGGTAGAGGTATGCCAAAAAAGAGCTGGGTGAGGTGATCAAACATGACTTGGCACAAATTCAGTTTATTGAGGATATGACCCTAGATAGGAAAGTACGGAAGTCTAGAATTAGGATAGAAGGTTAGTAGGTAGGCGAATGTTGTTGCACCTTATGTGGTAGAGGGAAGGGCCTTGTGGTGTTATTTGGTAAGTTCATAGTTCCTTATTCTTCTATTTGTATTACTATCTATTGTTGCATTTACTTTTTATCTGGCTATTTGGTTGTCATATTTTCTTGGCCATCATGCTTTGATGAGCTGAGCGTGTATTAGAAACAATCTCTCTATTTTACAAAGGTAGGACTAAGGTCTGGGTACATTCTAGCCTTCCTAGATTCCACTTGTGAGATTACACGGGGTATGTTGTTGTTGTTGGATAACTGTGGTGTCGGGGTCAACTTGTGCGCACCTCGACTAATTCGAATGTGTACTGACTACCTCCGACTAATACATGTACCGAGTAATCTTGTCCCACCTAGGTTTATTAGATGGATGGGAGAAATCAACTAGTGTTTTTGCCTCTTGCTGAGATCTGAAAAGTGACTCCTCAATCCTCATGGTTCTCAAATCACTTCATTGACTATACTAGGTCACCCTTGGGTGCAAAGACATGTAGAAACTTTTTGTGGGCTGCTGTTTTGCGTTTTGCAAGGGTTATGATTTATGAAAGCTCATTAAGTTGATCTTATATTTGTGACTGCATTGCGACCATGTTGGGACATCTAATCAACCTTTCTCATTCACTTTAATGTTTACTGAATCAACATTATGCGTGCATCACAGTGCCGTCTCAGAGGGAAGGTTGATTCCAATGGTTGTGCAGCTGCTTTCTTGGAAGAGCGCTTGAACATGGGTCTTAATTTCATTCTTTCAGCTGAGGTAAGTGGCATATGGATTTTACCTATTCTTGTTTTATTTTCCTTCGGATAACCGTGAAATTTCTTAAGGCAGCTAGTGCATGGATTGGAACTCTTACATTGGGGGGGGGGGGGGGGGCGGAGCACCCCTCTTATCTATTTCCCTCCTCCATGCTTATACTTGTTGGAATCCGATCTCACAGTTTGGTAGAATGACTTTCATTGGTTTCCTAACTGTTTTCCTTGTCACTTTTTCAGGTCGATCACAAAAAGAAAGACTACAAGTTCGGTTTTGGACTCACAGTCGGAGAATAGAGGGCAGCTTAAACAGGGATTAGGTAGCACAAGATTAAAATTGAAAGCATCTTGACAAGTGATGCTTTTTCTCAGCGATAAAAGAATCAAAACATCAGTTTTGTATTTTTATCGAGCGACATTGGTTCTGAACCATACATTTCATCTACTGGTGCAACTAGTCACTGATAGTTGATATTGCAATTTCGGTAAATTCTTTACAGTTTAGAATTGTAGAGTTTACTTTATTTTGATAAAGAGATCTACCATTCTCATTTTACTGGATGCTATGTGCTTAATAATTCTATGGTTAAAATTTAATGTAAGAGCAGAGATTTTGAAGATGTTTGAATACCTGCTATCTGAAAACAAAGGGAAGTCATAGTTTAGACTTCAACAGAGGTGACATTTAGTAATTTTCTTCGTCTAGTATTTGTGATGGTGGGAGATAGCAGGCGTCTAGCGAAATAGTTGAATGGTTCAGATACAATTCTTATAAAAAGAAAGTGTCAATCATTTATGTCTGTTTCAAATCAGTTAGAATCGATTATATGAATTTTTTATAGTTAATTTCTGAATCTCTTGAGATAATGTAGTCGGTGTAATACTATATAGCATGGGGAATTATCAAGATGGTAGAATTAGGTAGAGGCTTAAGCTTTTATCAAATTTTTAAGGATATGTTGCCCAGAAATAGTATGTGATTTCTTTCCATTTATTTTAGTTTTTACAAATAAAATTATCTAGTATTTATTGCGAGGAGGAAACTAAGTATGCAATAATTGGTTCGAATATCATGGGTTATCAAAAAGGATAGTGATAAATAATAAAGGACGAAGCAATTGTAATAAATGGATATGATTCAATTGCATACATTATGACATAGAACATGCACGTGTTCTTTAATTTGATTTAAGTTGGAATCTATATAATTTAATTTTTAAATATGCACAATTCTTGGATAATGGGCGAAAGTTCAATCCAACAATATCGCGTGAGTAAAGAAGGGCAATGTCGCTTGTATAGCTCTTTCGTTGAGTGCGCGATCATGACAGGACTAAGTATTAAATTATATATGTGTGCATGTGTTTTACGTAACACATATAAATTGATTCGAAAAGACTTCGAAAAAATAATAGAAGTTTTAATTTAGTACTATTGCTTTCTTGCATTTTGAATTTACTTTGTTTTTTCATTCCTCTACCTCATATTTTTAAAATTTATTTACTTACACGATCATCTTAAGGAATTATGGTGTTCGATTTTGAAGGATGGAGAAAATTCATACTTTTATATTCTTATAGAATTTCAATATTGTAAAATGACAAGAGTTTAATTTTTAAAATACAAATGATTGTTCGATTACTAGTTAGAAAGAGAATTATTCATGCATTAAAAAATTAATATTTCAATATCATATTTAGGATTTTAGTGGCTTTATCCAAAATTTAGCATACTACTAGTATGTTTAGTTAAGTTTTGAGGAAGTAGAGAAGTGTTTATTATTATTATTTTTTAAAAGAAATGTCTGGCTAAATTTTTTAGAGTTTCATAATTCTACTGAATAAAAATAAGTTCAACGATAGAATTATTATAAAAAATTAATAATACAAATAAAATTATTAAATAATAATTCGAAGCACAGGTAGAATCGAGAATATTCAATAAGAAAATCATAGATTCATAAAATAATTAAAAGAGCTTCAACATTTACCGTATAAATATATATACATATAAATTATTTTAATCAGTAGGTTCGAATAAACCGTTTGTATGACTCCAAGATAAAACAAAAATGAATAAATTAACAATGAATGATACTACTTGTCTGGATAGTTATTACCAATTGTATTGTTAATTTAAATTTAATTACACGCTAATAACGTTATGGCGAAAACAAAATTAAAATCAAACTCCAAAAGAAGCTGTATATAAGTTTTTGGCAAAATTAGGGCACACGGAGCTGCATCCATTGAAGATGATGAAGAAAATTTCTCTGCGGAATGGCAGTGGTATTCGCTTTATCTCTTCCATTTCTGGCTCGGATTTTACATCTAGAGCTTGTTCTTCATGCCATTACTGTAAAGAATCAATTTCAGTTAAGGATAAAATTGGTGTAAATAGTAGCAATTTAGATGATGCTGTGAATCTCTTCCATCAAATGGTTACAATGAAGCCTCTTCCTTCAGTTTTCTAAATTATTTAACAATATGATAAGTATGAAGCATTACTCTGCTGTCATTTCTCTTTTTTGACAAATGCGGAAATTAGGCATCCCAATTAATGGAGTCATTTTGACTAGTGTGATTAACAGTTATGTTCATGATGCATCGTGCTGATTGTGGATTTTGGGTGTTATCAATTTACTTAAAGAGTGGTTTTGCATTTCGTGTTGTCATCTTTACAACCCTAATAAGGGGATTCTTTGCTGAAAACAAGGTTAAAGATGCTGTTGAATTGTTCAAAAAATTGGTTACAGAGAAGATTTGTGAGCCTGATGAAGGCATGTATGCAACCGTCATGAATGGACTCAGTAAAAGGGGTCATACTCAAAAAACTTTAAGTTTGCTACGGTTAATGGAACAAGGGAGTACTAAGCCTGGTTTATTCATCTACAGCATTGTTATAGATGCTCTTTGCAAAGATGGAAACTTAGGTGCTGCTATTAACATTCTGAACGAGATGAAGCAGAAAGACATTTATCCCAATATAGTCGCATATAATTCAATAATTGTTGGTTTGTGTAAGCTCGGTCAGTGGGAAAAGGTTAAAACTTTGTTCTCAGAGATGGTGAACCTTAATTTGTATCCAGATGTGCATACCTTCACCATACTAACAGATGGACTATGCAAAGAAGGGAAAGTTGAAGATGCTTAGGAAGTAATGAAACACATGGTCGAAAAGGGTGTAGAGCCTAATATAATCACCTACAATGTATTAATGGATGGATATTGTTTGCGTGGTCAACTAGATAGAGCAAGGAGAATTTTTGATAGCTTGAGAGATAAGGGCATTGAGATTGATATTTTTAGCTATAACATACTAATAAATGGATACTGTAAGAAAAAGAAACTTTCCCAGGCCATGCAATTGTTTTGTGAAATTTTTAAAAAGGGATCAAAACCCGATAATTTTACCTACAATACAATCTTGCAAGGTCTGTTTGAAGTTGGAAGAACTGGTGATGCAAAGCAAATTTACGCTGAGATGCTATCTGCAGGGACCAAGGCTGATACAGACATTCATGCCACTTTGCTCAATGGTTATTTTAAGTACGGACTTGTTGAAGAAGCTATGTCGCTCTTCAATAAGTTAGAAAGAAACAGAGTATATACTGATATTGCATGTTACAATGTTGTCATTAATGGATTGTGCGAAAATGATAAACTTGACGAAGCACATGCTGTTTTCAAGAAGCTTTGTTTCACTGGATTGCTCCCAGATGTGAGAACATACAATGTAATGTTTAACGGATTTTGTCTTGAAGGGTTGTTTGATGAAGCTAAATGTATTCTAAGAAAAATGGAAGACAACGGTTGTCCTCCAAATTAGTGAAATGGCATCTTTTATGAAGGAAATGGTTGGAAGGGGCTTCTCAGCTGATGCAAGTACAGCTGCGCTTTTTGGTAAATGTTGTAAGGGTGAATCCTTCTGTCCTTGACATGATACCAGAGCTTCACTTGAATAATAAAAAGTGAATATTTCTTTTGGTTGGTTTATTGGGCTATGATACAATTCCTTTTATCCTTGCGTGAGAAATGGCATCAATGGGATTGCTGAAGTTGGAAAAATGGCAATTAGAATATCTCTTGATTTACCCTTCAGGGTGGCTTAGTGGTTCGGGCTTGGGACTTCCATGTTGGAGGTCTCTAGTTTGAAACCCTTTGCCAGCGAAAGCAATGGGTTTGCCTTCTGGGTCGAGCTCGTCGCGTCGGGCTTGCCTAGTGCGGGTAACGCCTCTTATGTGGTTTGCAAGCTATTGCATAGAAACGGAGATTTTATCCTCTGCGCATCCAAAGGGTAGCAGCTGCTGGTTTTTCTTGTCATAAAAAAAGAAGTATCTCTTGATTTTTCCAGGCAGGCTTGCGGAGGAGGTACATCACTTTTGGTATATTCATTGTTTTTCCACTCTTATTTATCTTGGAAATTGGATGTAGCTTCACACTCGATATAAATTATAATGTGAATTCTATTATGTGACTGTAATAAGTCTAGAGATATGATTTTCTGTGTTATTTAGTTATCCTCATGTATTGTCATTTTTTCTCATTTTTTGAGAATCATTAACAACTGCCTGTAATATAGAAAATGTTACGGAAACAACAGATGGTCTCAGGTTCAATTGTCAGTTTTCATATGTTTTAGTATTAGTGGACAGAGTTACTTGATATTTGTTGCTGGTTGGAGGCGACAAGTGTCCCGTAGAATTAGTCCAGATGCATGCAAGTTGATCTAGACACCACAGTTGTAAAAAAATATAAAATTTATGTTTTTCACAACCCAAGATTTTGGATTTTACATTATCCATGTGTTTTAATTGTGTGATGTGATTAGGGAAAATTATTGAGACTTAGTTGTTTTTGTGGTTGTACTTAAATGCACACTTACCAGTTCTTTAGGTATGGTAACTAATCTTTCTAATGCACTTGCTAGTCTGGGATGTGATAATGTTGCTTCTGTTGTGAGAACTTTGGTTGCGTGGATGCAAATGTAATGTTGAATTTGTTAAATGATCATGTCTCCACGTGTTAACGTTATCATAGTTGTCATTAATTTTTTTAATGACGGTATTGTTTTATTCAGATCCACTTATGTATACCTTTGACTATTGACTATTCAACAAGTACATGCTATCTCCTATCAACAACATAGATACCAGGTATCTTTAACTATCAAATATGTTTTTAGGTGTCTACGAAATATTCAATCTTGTAAACACTTTTAAGACACGAGTAACACACACATATATATATATATATTTACTTCGTTTAGTTTATCGAGGACTCAAGGTGATGAGATTATCTTCCATCACACATTTAAGTTGTCTGTAGAATCATTTGAATGTAATTTTAAGTTGAGTTCAAATTAACGGAAATAAATGCATGTTTCATGAAATGAGACATTTTCTGAATATCCTTTGAGATCTATAACTGATCGATAAAATGAATTGAGAATCATGAGATTTCAAGTTTAAATTCATATGATTAAAATGTATAATTTAAGTATGTATTATTTAATGGATAAAAAAACACCCTTAAGGTTTTTTTTTTTTGGCTAGTTAGAGG